TCGTTCGCTCGACGCATAGCCTAGACACTATGGTGACTGAGCTACATGCGCCGTATCGGGCTGGAAACTTGTCCAGCACGTCTAAAAAGCGTGAGGGCAATTGCACAGGCGGGTCCTCGGTTCGCATTTCGCCAATTCATGAAGCAGAGGGTTGGAATCCTGTTGTACACGCCACTCGCTAGAAGCAGCCGGTTGCCTAGCAACCGCTGTTACAAGTGCCACATGCGTTATTGAAGACTTTCCGACGAGGTAGGTCATACCGTCCGTACGTGAGGTCACGGCACCAATCAATGCGGTCACGTGACCAGCCACAATCGGGAAAGCCTTCACTGCTCACAGGCGTGCTTTACTTCTTCTTCTTGTACTTACTGCGTGGGTCGGGTCGCGCCGTAGCTCAAGCGGCTCTGGTCAAGTGGGATATGTGGTGGACAAAGTGGCGCTGGGGCAGGTTTTCTCCGAGTACTTCGGTTTCCCCTGCCAATCTTCATTCCACCAATTGCTCCACAATCACCCTCACCTATCATCTGGGGCTGGTACAACAGGCCAGAAGTGGCCGCAGTACAAGGGACTAACAATACTGCGTGGGTCACCTAGCAACCAACCCTCCCGTCTGTCTCTGTCTTACCAAAGCCCTCATGTTCTTCCTTCCTTCCCCAGCTTCATCTACTCCTTCCGCTCTGGTGCGTTCCGTCAGTTCACACCCACGCTCATTTCAATGGGCACCGAGGGGTCTTCCCCGGAGGTACAGAGGCCGGAGCGTTAAGCTTACCACTGACTTCCATTTAGTGCCGATGTTATGTGTGAATATATGCCTTCGCACCACCCGTACGACTACTTTAATTTTACTGAAGAGAAGAGTTCTCCTTGAGAAGCTGATAGTTACTCAGCTGCGACCTTTTGGATTCTGTCTTGGTTCCTTCTTAAAACGCACCCCGATCATCTTATTCTTTTATGAATTTATTTTCAAATTACCCTTCAGCCCAATTTACACACATTCGCGCTCCTCACTTTTCACTTGTTACGAGCGAGCCGAGGGCGGCAACAGTACAGCCTGTGACGCAGGCGTCAGACTTCCTTCACAAGTGAAACTGGCCAGCAGAGTAAAGCCTACTGGCATGTGTCAGAGCAGTCCTTCCCAACGCGGTCTGGCCAGGCAAACCTTTCGTGCTGGAATAACATTAATGGCACCCTCAATAACATTCACGTGGCTGGAGCAGATAAGCAAGGATAATACGTAATAAATAAATGTCAAATAAGAATATAAGATCAACGTATTACTTAAGCGAAAATATTGGGAAATAAACGTCACATCTCGCGTGTACGAAAACTGCGCCTTAAAAACTAATATGGCCTATATTTGCAATTTTCAAACCTAAGAGTGGTTTCTCTTTTTACGTTTTGCTTGGTGCTGGAAGGTTCAGTTCGCAGATCTGGTTCTGCATTTTGTTCGTGTTGAGCTGTGTGACTCGAGGGTCCAGTTTCGAGCACGCATCACCTACACGACTCCAACACAACGTCTGTTTCCTTCTGAGGCAAAATACGATTCAGTTTATTAATTACTTCCTATGAACTTGACCTCTCTAATCTAAATAAGATCTAAAATTAAGATAATTTTAATTGAAGTTTATAATTATAATAATAATAGTAATAATTATCTGGTCCACATCTCTTATTTTGGAAAAATAAATAAAACTAGGGTTATGAGATCTTGCTGTGTGTGTGTGTACTGCCCCTCCCCCACTCTGATGGCCTGTACCAATATCGTATATGAAATGTGGTATGAATAACCTATCATGCCACCTGAAGATATCTCAACGACATACTTCGTAAATTTCCCATCAATAATACCAACATTCCAGCCTCCAAAATCATCGAGTTCATAAGCTTAATATTACTTGAAACCTGAACCGCTCTTCAGGGAACTTAGCACGAAAGCCATTTCGTATGCGGCACTTCCTACAGCATATGCTCCTCTGGCAATACCAAGATGGCGGCCGCTCGAATTCTTGATGTGGGACGCAAACTGTTTCTTCAAAGCCGCATTACCTTAAAAAGTGCAACTTCTGAGTCTTCTATCGAGGAATAAATGCATGGTCTTTCTGTCGTTTTTAAATACAGACTATGTATTTATATCGTTACATTTTTAATGTTCTGAGTTTTTTGTCTTTTAGGGCTACTTTTTCTTCACTAATCCGGATTATCGCTTGAGCAGGATAACCGTTCCTGTCGCCATGGATTCAGTGTGCTCTGACTTATCGGAGTGGCACGTGACCATTTAGGGGGCCGTGAGGCAGAGCGATTTATGGCTCTGTGGCTTGTTGTTGAGATGTGAGTGGCTCTGGCAACAGCTTCACTGCCTTAAATTGCGTTATTTCATGAGCATTTCAGGTTCCATAAAAATGGAGTTCATATTATCGTTTTACTGTAAGCACCCATACAAACGTTATTTTCTTCTGATTATCATGTCAACTACTCAAACTGCAGTGAAATTCTCTTGCGGAACATCGCGGTTCTGCGAGCCACCAATTGAGAAACACTCTTCGATACGTTGCCCTACGTGACGCGTTCTGAAGCAAACTGAAGACTTCTGTTTTACATCCCAGGCGGTCTGCCGTTACACTGAAAGGATCCAGTCAGTCTCGAAGCCAAGGCTTTTGGCGTGGGAGTCAAGAATTAGCCTGTAGTCACAGCATTCGTCCAGGGCCTCTGAGATCCCACGAATCAGTGAGGCCAACACACAGCAAGTGCGTTCTCTCGTCGCCATCTGCACAGCTTTACACCGGCGTTTCTGTGCCACAGACATGCGTTCAAGTGGCGTTGATTGGACTTAGCTGTTTCAGGGCGATTTTAAAGGTGTCAGAGGAAGCCTAAATCACAAGAGCAGCGGCAAGTGCGACGTGCAAAACTGAACTAAGGTCACTGTGCTGCTAGTTTCGTGTTTCGGTTGCAGCTCCAGGCTCTAATCAGGAAATCCCGCAGTTGATAGAGTGTCATCAAAGGCACACGACATATGCAAGCGTCGCATTGGGACGCTGGGTCCTCAGTTTATACCTCGCTCGGAGCACTAATAAGCATTTTTCAGTTTTCTACTCGGGAAATCCTTGATTATGATGATAATGGTGATAAGGAAGTACCTGTCCAAAGGGCCAAAGTAGGGTCGGTTGGGAAATGACAGACAAGAAGATCTTGAAGGAGAGGGCCTTATTACACACGCATAATGTACTGGGGTGAAGGTTGTGGGCAACTGTGTTCCGGTCCATCTACGCAACACATGATGACGTGAAGATTGTTGCCTTCTCACATGTGAAGCCGTCCAGTCTTGTAAATAGTTACCAGAGCTTCGGAGAAAACCACTGCCTCCATCCCCATGGTAGAAAAATATTCTACAATGAAGACGAATATAGAACGTTCCTACATGAAGCATTTCTTCCTGTCTACCAGACAACACCGCGCCACATAACTTCAAACTTGCACAACAGTGACATATTCAGGGGAGGGTAAGGGCGGTGGTCCCCTTTTCCACAGTCCATAACTCAAAGAAGCAGTCGACAGCAGAAGCGCTGTATATCTGTAGGCCTGTATTGTTGTAATGCTGCATGTCTGTATGCCTGTATTGTTGTAATGCTGTACGTCTGTATGACTGAATTGTAGCGCTGTATATCTGTAGACCCGTATTGTAGTGCTGTATGTCTGTAGGCCTTAATTGTTGTCGATCTATGTCTGTAGGCCTGTATTTTTGTAGGTATGTATATCTGTAGACCCGTATTGTAGCACTGTATGCCTGTAGGTCTGTATTGTTGTAGGGCTATATGTCTGTATGTCTGTATTTTTGTAGGACTGTATATCTGCAGACCCGTACTGTACGAGTTGTCGTGATACACCTCAGTCCCTGCAGGCAGATTACAGGGTTAAAGCTTCCTGAATGTAGGCCGAGAACTTCCTGTCAGATCCCTTCCTGTCTACGACTTGCGCTATGTAATGCATGAAGCCTGTCTTCACTGTGACTAGTGAAGATAACACCACACGCTGCTAGAGGGAACAACACACAAGCAAGGGGCGTACTGCAGATTGCAGACGTAGCAAGACAACGGGGTAACGAACAGAAGAACAAGCTGCATAAACGAACCTTCTGGAATATCACATAGCTCTAAACAAGTGGACGACGCTCCTTATGAGGTGGAATAGGATTTTACGAAAAACTTTTAATAGAAACTTTTAATGGATTTTAATTAATTATATGCGTTATTTTTAAGTGGACTGCAACACGCGGTTTTAGCTCACAACAGAGCAGTGCAGCAGTTTGGATGCATTGAAACACCTGAAGATGGCCATATATGGCCGGAACATGTTGAGTTAAGTGTTAAATGGCGAATAAACAATTGTTGACGGACTGTGGATACATAGACGGTCAAATAACGAAATTAATTCACTGAATATTTAACGGGACTTTCGTCAAAGTTCTCTATACTTCACCGAATATTTCACCCAACTTTCGACAAATGTTCCCTATACTTTACTGAATATTTTACTGGACTTTCGACAAATGTTCCCTATACTTTACTGAATATTTTACTGGACTTTCGAAAAGAGTTCTCTATATTTCACGGAATATTGACATTGGCGACACGAACTTGAAAGGAAAATCAACCAGCGCCTGGCGACTGATATTCTGTCCGCTGGACGGTACTTTTATTGACCGGCCGAACCGGGCTTGGCACCGCATCGCGGCGACCCACATGGCCACCAGCTGGCGCTCTGTCGCCGAAAGCACAGGCTTCGAACCTCAGGTTTCTCACTACCGGTATGGGCTCACAGCCTTCTCTGCTGCATTTGGAAATTAATTATCTCAGTATGAACTGCAAAGCTACAAAGCACCGGGTGACTGCACGCCCTAACTGAGATTTCTGTGGTCCCCCAAATTCCTCCCAACTGGTCTCTCGTACATCGGCCGCAGTACAGTCTATGCTGGGACCCCCCACAATGCCTGCCCTGCAACTCACTGTGCGTGTCGAACTTCCTAATGATGGTCTCGATGATAGTAGTTCTGGGGGCCACGTGCCCCCTGCGGACCGGCATGGCTGCTGAACGTCGCGCCGCCACTTCCACTACATGCTTACGCACACACTCACTCACTGCACAACACTGCGCGTCCTGCCGCTCTCACAGCGGCGCACAACTGCCAGCAGGCGTCGCGGCGGCTGCCGGGCGCGCGCTCTGGTGGGAACAGCCGCGGTGACGTCACACCCCTCCACGCGGCGATCTGACACCCGCGGTCACAAGTTCATCCAGGCTTATCATGAGCCAGCTCAGTCCACTCCCAGTCTCGTCCCTCAAGTAGCAGTAAAATTCTGGCCCCCACGCGTGCTACATGCTCTGCACGGCCTATCCTCTCTGAATTAATCATCCTAATAATATATGAAGAAGAGCACAAACTGTGAAGCTCCTCTGTCTGCCTGTCCCACTGTCACCTCCACACCCTCATGCCCGCACGTCCTCTAACTTCTGGAGCAAGTCAGACTCAGAGGCCAACAACTAAATTGCTCTTTATCTTCCTCAGATACTCCAGGGGATCAGTACAGATGTTCTGACTCCTGAGCTCCGTTTGCTCAAAAGGCCACAGTCAGTGAGGGACCAAGTTTCACACTCATATAACAGGTGAAACTGTGTGTAGTGTTCCTATATCCAATGGTCCTGCTTCCTAATCTGACGGCCCCGAGATCGACTGTCCTGACTGAGGCTTCTCGTGGTTTTCCTTAGTCCCGCCAGTTAAATACCAGGAGAGTTCTTTAAATTGCGATATTCCCGCTTCCTTCCCCATCCTTACAAATTCATGTCATGAATCATCCACCACAGTACCAGGAATCTTCCTGGGGGTTAAAAGGAGGCCGGCGCGTAAGGCTTACAATATCACCGCCATCTAGAAAATGTGGGAGCCTCGCTGTCTCAGCACCCCACTGGACTCCACGGCCCGTCCCAAGGATAGATTTACCTTCACATATACGAGTACATAAATCCTGTGGAGACAGTGGCATATCTTGCGAACTGTTCGTGTGAACAGATACCAGACACGTTCAGGCCGTTCAGGGGTCCGCTGCGGTAAAAGTGGCGGCTTACTCTGATAGCTGCAATTCATTTGACTTTGCGGTATTGCAGGGAAGTCGAACAACAGGCGGGCACTCGCCTCGTGCTGCCACATAGCAGTTTGAGGAGGAACTCGTTGACTGGGCTAACAGGGATAATGTTATGTGTACAGTCTGGTCAACAAACATGCGTGCAGGCTTGTGCCGCTCAGAAGCTACAAATATCTGTTACAGGAATGGGGTGCTCTGGGAGCATCTTGTTCTGTGCGGGGCCCCGTGACGGGCGGCTCCAGTCCGGCGCGGAGACAAATTTACCTTTACCTTTTGCATACACTTGCAGACATGCAAGTAAGTACACAGAGCACAGTGGAATTGTGGAACATTTTGTTGTATATTGATTCTGAAAACTTCCTGATGCTTTCGCTTGCGCCCTCCTGAAGCTGGCAATGATACCCAGATCACTAACTTCAAAAGTGTGCATGAGTACTGTTGGTTGCCTAGCAACGTTTGGGACCGCCTGTTCACAAGAACGCTGTCTCCCGCGAGAGTCGGTTCTGGGGCGCAGTTCCGTCTGCTGCACAACGCCAATAGTCCCTCAGACCGTCAGACAGAACGAGCTTCCTTGGCGTGGTCTTGACTGTTTGACTTGCTGACCCCTTGCATATTTCCCTCCAGCAGGTCTCGCTACGTTTCCTCTCAGGTCTTTAGCCAATCAGCTGACATGAAGGTTGGTTCTGACAACTTATGCTGGCAACAAGATCTTAGGCTGGTTGACATAAGCCAGAGGTCTGAAGGAGTGGGTAACACAACAGCGTGTGAAGTCCGTCCGAGACCGGCGTTAATTGTTTCGGCTCTGTTCTCTGTTCACAGAAGCAGTCGCTGTGTATTGTTAGAACCACATGGACACACAAATACACCGAACGTGGGCAGAATGTAGAGTTTTAATTATGATAAAACAGGTGGTACATATAGTAACCATTCGAATTTTAAAGAGATACTCAAATCCACTCCAGCATGCAATATCCTCACGCCTGTTGGGTGGCGTCAGCACACGGACAGCCTCTGCGGAGAAGCAAGTCAGAGACTGGTGTGGGTGTGAGCGCAGCTTCAACAGATGAAATCTGTTCACTAGTTCCTTGTCCGCCTCTTGTTCGACTCTTCCGCAGTACCGCAAAGTCAATTTGGTTGCAGCTATCGAAGAAAGGCGTGAGTTCTTATTGTCCAGTGTAAAAACGTTAGCCCTGACGTGGACGACCGTGGTCACCGTGTCTGTTATTTGCTTATCTTTTGCATGACTTGACACCGTTTTCACGGGACATTCAGCAGAACGGGAAGAAAAGCTTGTGTCTTGCCGGTGAGTCATGCATGTTCGCGTTACAATAACAATGAATATTTTAGTGTTGCGTGGACCTAACAGGTCACGCAAGAGCGAGTAGTCTTTCATTTCTAACAAGGAATGGAATTCTCTGGAATCGGATGTCCCATAACAAGTAGGATCAATATGTTGTGACAGGTGAACCCACTGCATATAGAAGTGTCACGCATCGTCAACACAGTACGTGAGAACCAGCGGCCATTGCACGTCACCAGCTAGGTAAGTATGTAATCCCGTACGAGAGAGTCGTTTGCATGACAGCAAGGAAATTGTCTGCCATTTGGTACGCCAAGAACCGACCTGAGAGAGACTATACCAGATAAGTTCAGACCAGGGCGGAGCTCGGGTGGGCGGTCAGAGACGATGGGCTAGTCAGGCCGCAGCGCCTGCAAGAAGCTATTCGTATGTCAGAGTGACTGTGGTGTTTGGAATTGTAATGGTGAACGAATTGTCCAATAAAGCAGCTTCGTCTAAAGCCGCAACCCAGTAATTATTTGCCACGGAACCCCGGACACGTGAGAGTATCAATATCTTTAATTTACCGTTGACTTCAACGGGCTGTTCTCTGGCAACTCAAAATGTATAGTATCGAATTATAGGATGATTACTGAACTATGAATTGGAAAGCATTTAGAAGGAAGTGGTCGTGACCTGATTCCAGGGACTATAGAGGTATTTGCATGCAAGGTTGAGGCTAGACTTGTATTCGAGAGGTGCTCGGTTCGAAATCCCGCCGGGACATCAGGTAAACTGAGCGAGGTTCCTTGTGTTCCCCCTCAGTCTCTCCAGAGAAGTGCCGGGCTAGTACCTCAATGAGGCTATAAGCGCTTCCTTTCAAATCCCTTCCAGTACATCACGTGACAGTCACTGGCGGGGCCGCTGTCTGCGCCAGTGACAGATCGAAAAGTGTCGGTCAGTGTGCTCGCTTCCCATACCGGGGTCTGAAAGCGGGACCAGTAGATTGTGTCAGGATTGGGGACCGAGGGGTTCAGCGCTCATTTGCTTCGCAGGCTGAAATTTCTGGGCGCTGTTCGTCCCCATAAATGTTGGTACAACCCCCGCTCCTAAAGCACGTCACTGCGTTGTGCTGCAGGCTCTAAACTTCTGGGCGCTGTTCGTCCCCGTAGATGTTGGTACAACCCCCGCTCCTAAAGAACGTCACTGCGTTGTTCTGCAGGCTATAAACTTCTACCATTTCTATGCTGACATTTTCAGCTCAAGAACATTAAGTAAACCCTCGATAATCCGGTTACAATTAATCCGGATCGAAATATGAAACTTGAAAAATGCTGTTCCCAGTTCAGTACACGTGACATGTAGGCAGGCAGATGAGTCACATGTCTGTTCGGACAAAACTTGAGACAGTTTCCTCAAACCTGCGTCATTACGTTCAAAAACAAGTGCAACTTCTGGGTCTTCTGTTGATGTATAAATGCACTGTATTTTTGTAGTTTTTAATTAAAGGCTCTATACCAATTTCTTTTTAATTTTCATCAGCACTGCTTATGATCATTAAAATTCCCATTTTTTTGCGTTAAAGTTTTTTTTTTCTTTTACAGATATATTTTGCTTCGTTAAACCGGATTAGCGAGGGATTATGTTCATGGCATTCTCTGCCTACATCATCTCTGAGGGCAGCCTAGAGTAGGCAACCTTGCGTAACAAATGCCGCGTGTCCACAAGAACTCCGGTAGGGCGATTTTGGGTCCCATCACCTGCTCAAAATGGGATTTATTGATTTAGCAATGATCACATAAGGGTCTACGTCACTATATGATGATGGCTACCCTTAGAGATATTTTAGGCACAGATTCGCACTGGGGGGCGCTGCAAGTCAGGACAAGTTTCCGTCCACTAGAAATGCTGCATAAACCAAAGGAGCGGGGAACAGAAACATTTCCAAACGGTATATCTCGTTCGTGGCAAGGGAAATATTAACATTGTACAGCAGGATAGTACATACATTCTGAAAACATTTCACCTTTGAGACATAACACATTTATCAGTTCAACTTACTATATTTGTGTAGTATATTACCAAAATACATGCTTTAGCAGGACCACGGAAAACAAGTTGCATTGAAATACACGCGCGCCTGTTCCCCGCAGTGCATTGTGGGGACAGCGAGCAGACACGCTCCAACATCATGTACACTGAAGCCGGAGGTTCTTACTGCCTGCTTGCATATTACACTGTGTATCCTGGTAGACAGTGATCAGCGTTTCGGAGGAAATTATACCCTGAAGATTGAGGCACAGTATTCTTCCGAAACGCTGGCATCTACCCGAGTTCACCGGACAGTGTGGGAAGGAATCTTCACCTTGGAGTAGCAGACATACTTGTCGCGGCCTCTCTCCGAGACCTAACTCCAAACATATCTGAACCCCTAGTTCATCCCCCTAACAACAAAACAGCAGTCACTCTGTATCTCTTCTCGAGTCGTGTACGATGGTCTTGGAGGCCATACCGCACATGGCAAACAGGCTGGCCAACATGAACACGAGCCCGGGGGGCTTGGCCCCGAGCAGCAGGGCGCAGCAGCAGGCGGACAACTGGAAGGCCAGCAAGATCAGGCCCAGGTACACCGCCACAGCCAGCAGAGAGCCCCTCACAACAGCCAGACAGGCCTGCATTGCCGAGCTTGAGGTCTGGAGGCAGGACAAGGCATGAGGCAGCACACCTCGGAAGCAGTAGGCGGGGAACTGCCTGATGCGATCCAGGGACGCGGTCCTCGCGATGCTGGGATGGACCCTGCGGGATTTTGTGGGGCCCATGGCAGAGCGTTTGTCAGCAACCCCTGCAACAGGGACCACAGAGCGCATCACTGGAAGCCTAAGTGGCCGGCTGACTGAGTGACTGGCTGGTGACCAGCAAAGAAAATATGTGCCCGCCGAAATCTTTGAAATTATTTAGCACACTTTGCATTATTTTTAGGAAAGAAATGGGGAAATTTAAACTTTATATTTGCTAAAGTGATGAAGATATTCACTGTTTTTATGGAACAGAAAGGTTCATTGTCTTGTTCACAAGAGCCTGAGCCAGCTAAATCCATCTACACCGAACCATATTTCGTTATGATCCTTGTCAATATTATCCTCCGTTCTACATTTGGGCTCCCGAGCGCTCCCTTCCCTCAAGGTGTTGAGACCAAAAGTCTGTCTGACATTTCCATCTCCTCGCCCTAACAATTATTGTGGGGATTACGTAAGGATGTTGAGACCTGCCAGAGCAGGCGCACATGCAATGTCAAGGTTCATGCGTCTGTGTCTGGAGACAAATTCATGCTCTAAGTACAGGATATGCCCTGTCATCGTCCATTTGTTTTGTCTTTCTTGCGGTCTGATAAGCCAGAAACTTTGTCCTTAGCAACAGACAGCCGCAATGCGTAGTGGCCTCCCTTATCACCGGACCTCTTGACTCTACTCACCCGTGGACACGAGAGGTCTGAGTCTGTCCTGTACTGATGGCTCGGTGACCGCTGTGACGATCATTCTGGAACAGAAAAGACGGACGGCTGCTTCGAGCTTCAAGTTCATCTCAATAATATTCGAGAGCTCTTTATCCAATGTCAGAGTAAACTTAATGCAAAGACAAATTGGTTAATGCTGTTTAGGGCAACATTCCTGGCTTATTGCGGCCGTCATATCTATGTATCCATCTATGACTCTGCAGCCCTTCTGATGGACCTTGGCCGCTTTTCAGTTTCTTGATCTTTAAGACAGTCGCTAGGACTGTGACGTCACATGAAACACAAAAATTGAATAATTCCTCGTTTAACGTCGTGGACACATTATGGTAAATAGCGACCTTAGGTGAAACGGCGTTAAGCGGATCTAAGTTAGTTTATCAGCCTTTCTTCGCTCCATAACGTGCACTGCAATATAGACCAAACAAATATGGACGCGACTGTAAATACAGACATATTCTTGTCTATATATGCAAGCAATTGTAAATTGGAGTAACGTAGTGTGTAGTGGCCGCGCCATAGCTCAAGCGGTTAGTCGCTGGCTTCCCACCGCGGCGGCCCGGGTTCGATCCCGGGTCTGGTCAAGTGGGATTTGTGGTGAACAAAAGGGCGCTGGGGCAGGTTTTCTCCGAGTACTTCGGTTTCCCCTGCCAATCTTCATTCCACCAATTGCTCCACACTCACCCTCACCTATCATCTGGGGCTCGTACAATAGGCCAGAAGTGGCCGCAAAACAAGGGACTTAGTCCCACCCCACTAGCAATAAAAGCAACGTAGTGTGTATATACCCACAACCAAAGGTGACGCGAGCGTGTGGAGGTTGGCGGCCCTGTCTCGTCAATATGGAACACTTGTTTGAGCAAGTAACCCCACCCTTCGACCATTTTCTTGAACTCTGGGGTGAACAACGACGTAAGACGAGTTAACAGAACGCTGTGTGGTTCCCTGATATGAAAACACTCTCACGTAACAACGGAACGTGAAGCAGGGCGACGTACGCAGTAGCCCTGTGCCGTGGAGGCCCACATTTTGTAGACAATCGGCTCACAGGTGGCGGTAACGTTGCCAAACTTACGCGCTCGCCACGCTTTACTCCCCAGGAAAATTATTTAATTAATTCCTGGTACTCATTTCTGTTAGAGGCTGAGTCGACCCCAGGGCCATAGTGCGGCTTAGAAGGATTAGGTCAAAGAATTTAAGATATTATGCAAATCATTTCCGACTTTATGGACTGCATTCCTATACAAAAACTTGTTGTAAGGGTGAGCAATATTTGTTTGTCTTCACGTAGAGTCAGCCTACCATAGAAACTGTACAGCTTTACACGTAGGAATGTGAGTTATGTTTAGGTCAAGAACGGGCGAATTGTGTCTTCATGCCCCTCCGACAAACAGGGGCCTAAGTATTCCACACACATCTGAACAAGTAACCGAGTGTGGTGAACAGCGATTTGACACCCGTCAGGGGCACACCTTTTGGGTACAGGCGGATCCTGGCACGGGGTGCGAAGGCGATCGCTCGCTTCCTCCGAGCGCCGAGGTGTAGCGTCACCCCACCCCCACGCACCTTCTTGGCCTGGCTGAGGAACAAGATATCCCCAGTGCAGCTTGTCTGTTTTGGTTCAGTAGGTTTACTGAGTTTCGTGCTGTCAATTGGAGCAACAGTTCAGTTGTGGGATATTCGCCAGAGAGTAACGACGTGAGCACAGCAGCTCAGGAATGTCCATTGTTAAGATCCGTTACCGGGAAACGACTAGTGAAAGCAGACTGAGAAGGCTTAGCGTGAGATGTGGTGACCTGTGAAATGTGGAGATTAACGATAGAGCTACAGTTACTCGTAGTTACGATCTGTACGTAGTCACCAAATGGCGTCCCCAATGGAAACCCCGTCTATAGTCACACTCCCTCACACGTGACAATTTACAGAAAGGTAATTTTGCCCGCTGTTCTGTATTGGGTTTCCAACCAAAGCTACTGACTTCGTATATATGGCCGCGCCATAGCTCAAGCGGTTAGCCGCTGGCTTCCCACCGCGGCGGCCCGGGTTCGATCCCGGGTCTGTTCAAGTGGGATTTGTGGTGGACAAAGTGACGCTGGGGCGAGTTTTCTCGAGTACTTCGGCTTCCCCTGCCAATCTTCATTCCACAAAATTCTCCATCATAATCACCCGGGGCAGGTTACAATAGGCCAATCAGTGGCCGCCGTGCCGAGTGGACCCAGTTGGACTCCACCCCCACTAAGCGAATATTGATCACTTTACCACTCGACTCGTGACCACACGTAATTTCAGAGCCATCGCTAATCTGCACACTTCACAAATCACTACAGCACACGCTATATCTTTTCCAGCCTGCAATGCCTTCACTAGTAGTTGCTTGGTAACGGCTTCTAACAATGGCTGCTTCCGGGCTTAAGCCCTCTCTGAATAGCAGCTCGCTTCCAGCTGACTAGCTTATAACTTCCGTTGCCGTGGAGACCCGCTACAATATGAATGTTCACAACACCAATAAATTCCGTTGAACTGCCTCGTACATTCTAGTTCTAGGCACTAACTGGAGGCGAATCGTCAAGTTCACGCTGCACCTGCTTTTACCCTGGATATGATTTCTTGACACGGCTGTATGGATGTCTGCGTCCCTTTGTCGACTGAGTGAGCTTTGTTAGAACCAACTCATCAAATTGCTTTGCCGATGACGCAAAGATATGGACACACCTGCCGCTGCGCCCAAGCCCCATGCCATAAGCGGAAATGCGACGACGCGTACGAGCCGACGCAAACGACTTCCGGTTCTCATGGCGATATTTATTTCTTTACCTTCTGGTTATGACGCCGTTTAGTCTGGTAGGTGGGCACGAACACTAAACTGTAGAGTAACACAGACATACTGGAAACAAAACTTCTGCTGAAGACAAGTTTTATATTAGAGATAAACAAACTTCTATTGGAGACAAGTTTTATATTGGAGATAAACTTCTCTTGGAGACAAGTTTTGTATTGGAGATAAACAAACTTCTGTTGGAAACAAGTTTTGTATTGGAGATAAAAATCTGGAGAGATGTTTATATGTTAGAAAACAACTTCTGCTGAAAAGAAGTTTATAGTGAAAGTAAAGAAATGTCTGTTGCCAGTAATCGAGTATCACGGTCAAGTAGCTGGCACACTGGAGGTCCCGGGTTCAAATCTTGGCCTTGAGGCCGGTTCTTGTGACTGATTTCTTTCGGTCCCTCGTGACGAATGCCTGGGTATTACCTCAAGTTAGGCCACGACCGCTTCCGCCCACAGCCTTTCCAACACAATGCTGTCATGCTATGCACAAACACAGTTTACTTACTTACCTTGCGCACTACCGCGGCAGCCGGCAGCACTCGTGCACTCTACCATCGCGCTCTGTACGGTCGGGCTTTTGTGTACGTCCCCCCTCCAGGCCGCCAGCACATGTTACACAGCGCGGAGCTTCTGACTGCGTGACGTCACTGCGCCAACATGGCAGCTGCAGCGTCAGACTTCGGTAATAGCCGTGCTGAACCTTCGGGTTCTGCTTCAGCCATTGTGCGTTCTCCATACCGTGAACATGAGCGGTAAGCACTCACGTGTTGCAAGTGCAGGATTGCTGAACAGATCTTGATTAAATTTGATACGAACGTTCCAACTCATTTAATTTTCAACAGTAACAGTGTAGCAGAATGACGCAGTAACCACAGTAACCTACAGATACTAACATCAGTAACCATGGTAACAACAGTGAAAGTAACAGCCGTCTACAAGTGAATCCGAACCCCGTACTGGTAGGGTGTGGGTCAGAGCCGACAGAGAGTAAACTATGGTCTTGAGTCCCATGGGACTCTTAACCAAGAATGACTGTGCTGGCGAGGACGAGCGGCATTGAGAATGTCAAGGCAAACTGTGTATGGGTCGCAGGTTCACAGCCTTATTTTGTTTGTGTTAGTTATTAGCTTTCTCGCGTGCAACTTGCTTCGTAAAAGCTTTAAAGTATTAAACTTCAGAATGTCTTCTAGATCACTGGTGTATGCATACAACATTGGTCACCTGTAGGTGTCTCCAAAATTGCTGATGAAACTGCTGTGCTTTTGGGGAATGCCCCCGTCTGTGTGCCCTATAGTGATGGGTGCTTCCTCTGATTGTGTTGTGTGTAGCTGTTGAGACAGCAACTAGTTACTGACAGGACTAAATAGGGACGAGCTACAAGATGCTGCGATACAATGTTATTGTGTTCATTTGTGTTAAGAGCGGCCACTGCATTGCGGCATGGAGAAGGGAGGATTTGGAGGCAAAGCAGAACATGACCTAGACTTCACCAAGTCCAATCCGGTTACAGCTCCTCTGCATGTAACATGACCTAGACTTCACCAAGTCCACATCCGGTTACAGCTCCTCTGCATGTAACATGACCTAGACTTCACCAAGTCCACATCCGGTAACAGGTCCTCTGCATGTAACATGAATTAGACTTCACCAAGTCCACATCCGGTTACAGCTCCTCTGCATGTAACATGAACTAGACTTCACCAAGTCCAATCCGGTTACAGCTCCTCTGTGTGTAACATGGCCTAGACTTCACCAAGTCCACATCCGGTTACAGCTCCTCTGCGTGTAACATGACCTAGACTTCACCAAGTCCACATCCGGTAACAGGTCCTCTGCATGTAACATGAATTAGACTTCACCAAGTCCACATCCGGTTACAGCTCCTCTGTGTGTAACATGGCCTAGACTTCACCAAGTCCACATCCGGTAACAGGTCCTCTGCATGTAACATGAATTAGACTTCACCAAGTCCACATCCGGTTACAGCTCCTCTGTGTGTAACATGGCCTAGACTTCACCAAGTCCACATCCGGTTACAGCTCCTCTGCGTGTAACATGGCCAAGACGTCACCAAGTCCACATCCGGTTACAGCTTCTCTGCGTGTAACATGACCCAGACTTCACCAAGTCCACATCCGGTTACAGCTCCTCTGCGTGTAACGTGGGCTTGACGGAACAAAGTTCGCTTCGCGAAGATTGCATCATGCGCCTGCGTGATGTCTGAGGCGTGGTTTGTTTAATGACACCGCTCCAATGAATAGTAGCTAACAGAGCCTTTGAAAATATGCGAGAACGGAAGTAAAAAATCAAACATGCATCGTGCAGAAATTAGGAACAGAGAATGCTGCCTACCATTCAGTCCAGAACCTCCTGTCTTCCCGTCTATTTTCGTATGGGTGAGAATTCGGTCTCTCTGGGTGAAGAACACGGGTTGAAGGTGTTTCAGAACTGGATGCTGAGGAGAATGTCTATATAAATTTCTATGTAGGAAACCCTGAAGGAAAGTGATCACTTGGAAAACCGAGGCACAGATGGGGATACTCTAAAATGGATTTTAATGAACTAGAATGCGGTGGTATGAACTGGCTGAAGGACAGGGACAAGTGGCGAGATCTTGTGAGCACGGCGATGAACCTTCCTCCGCCGAAGGCAGAAATTTCTGGACTAGCTGAGCATGTGCTGGGTTCCTGAGAAGGACCGTGAAGTTAGCTATTCTGCGTCAGTGACGAAGGGAGGAAAGAGCAGGACACTGAAGCTCTTTAAGCCTGAAATCGAAACAGCATTTGAAGTTCAGTTCTCTCCGCAGACAAAACACAACAAGTTCTCTTTACAGGAATGGACGAGTTGATGTGTTCAGTGAAATGATCACTCTGTTTAATCAGAAGAAGCACATAAATACACGCGTGCGCAAGACGCAGAGTTCGTTTAATGCCATGGCCGGTGGTGTGTAAACTTACTTTTGTACTTTAAAGAGTTAAACATACACCAATTTCCGAAACGCTTTACGCCTATCCTCACCAGTATTATCAAAATGACATGTGCGAACCCCGGGTTGCCAAACTGTGTATTAAAATGGACAAGTTCGCTTGTGATTTCGAAACTTCTGGAAGCCCGAGAAGTCGCGACTCAGCGGTTTCCGCGAAAACATTAACACAGGAAGTCGCGGCCATGTTTGGCTGACAAGGCGACAGATCAGCAACACAAAGCGAAGTGTTCAGGAGCCCGCTTGTTCAAACCTCGGCTGTGCGACCGACTATTGTGGCAGCAATTTCGTGGATTTCCTCAGCTCTTATAGGGAAGTGAACGGGATGGCACATGTAAATACTACAGACCGCTTCCTTCCACATCCCTCCTGATTCATTCTACCATTCAACGCTACGTAACCTGAAGTCCTGGCCTTGTTGCTAAACAAACCAGAAGCAAACAAGCACGTAAATAAGCACATAAAGTCCAACATCTCTCATACAAGCGTCACCCGCTGAATCAAATCCCTAATTTCAAAATCCATCCAAAGCAGAGTACAGCCTTTCGAGGTGTGTGACCTGATGGAACGTTGCCAACGTTTCGGAGCAACTTGCCGCACCCACCTTCAAGCCGAAGAATGATCCTCGATGATGAAGGTACCAAGTTCCTCTGAAATGTTGTTGACTTCTACCAGACTACACGGCATTACATCCCAGAAGACGTAAGAGAGCTGACGTCAAAACAGCCGCTTTATCTGAGGTTGATATTGTAGCGTTTAGAGCCGTTACTAGGCAATGATCACGACATAAGCAAATATACCAGAGCCGTTATTGGATAACGCGCTTCGCAAGCAAAACACGTTCCCACGGAAACGATTTGAGAAACGTCTCCACAGCAACGAATCAACACGCAACAATAGAGGTAATGTCGGAAACTGTGTTTTCTACAGTGATTCGTGTCGAGGGGTTACAAGCGGGACAAAGTTAAAGCTTACTCAGCTGGAAGGGAGCCGCCATTCAGAGAGGGCTTGAGCCCGGAAGCAGCCATTGTTAGAAACCGTTACCAAGCAACTACTAGTGAAGGCACTGCAGGCGAGTGCTTTAGTGAACTGTAAAGTGTGGAAAATAGCGATGGCGCTATAATTAAGTGTAATTACGAGTTGTGTGTTAAAGTGGTCAATACAGCCAATATCCAATCCAAACTCCCGTCGAGAGCTACACTAACACGTGACAATATGAAGGACATTACTCACTAGATGCTAAGGTTCCGACGGATTCTCGCGCCCCCCAGAGCTTTTGAACTACTGGCTTCGAAGAGTCGATAGATCTCTTAGACGGGTTGACTTTAAGGTTCATGGTGAGCAGCTATGTTGCTAAATTCCGGAATAGATCAGTCAGTTAGGGACTAGGTTATGAGCTGAGCAACCGTAGTATCAGGGTTCGATTCCCGCAAGAGGCTAGAGTGTTTTCTGTTTTCCATAGCATCCAGGCCGGTTCTGGAGCCCACTGAGTGTCCTATCCAATGGCTAATGAGGGTAGAGCGGTCGGGGCATGAAGCTCACCAGTGGCCAGTTGGCGCCACAGGAAAAGGAGGCAGGGCAGCGTGTCACATGACTCTCATATTGCACCATTTCCAAACGATGGAAAATATCCAAGTCGTGGGGGATTTCCAAACTGTGAGGAATGTCATCCCAACGGACGCATAATCAGCGTCGCAAATCCGGCCAGTCACCGTCTCCTTGATCTAAGCCCCAGCCACAAAGTGTGCTTGTGTGTTCTCTCTCCCCAAACAGTGGAGATGTAATGTGTTTCCTGAGAGGTACGAACTGAATTCTTATATATTACTTAGAAGAAATACAAGTTATAAAATTGTGCATTATGTTAAGCTTCTTTTCCGCCCTAAACTCCGACTGATCACTTTCACCTCAAAGACACCGTTTGGTAGTTTGTGGGACATTTACGTTCCATCTAAATGTAATTGTATTGTATTATTATCTTGTGGTCGTTGAAAATGTTCTAAATTGAGTCGGCGTTATCGAATAAAAATGAGAACGTTTCCCTTTTTGTGCTCCATAAACCGCCATGCATAATGAAACAATTAAATAACATATTGCGCATCCGCGTGGCAGCAGTAGCGCTTATTGTGACCATCCTCTGAACTATCCATTAGGTAAAGACGTCATGGGACGCCATTTTGTCATGAATATCTTGTCTGGGAAGTGCGGGGTTCTGTCGTCATATCCCAAAACCTTGAGGAACAGAGATAACTACTGATTTGTGGCGCCGTTTTCTTTTATCGAGCTGGGAGTAACGCTCGCTTGTCCCCTCACCCCAACCCCGAAAGCTGAAACCAGATCCAGTTCGTTGGCTTTGGCAGTAAAACAAAAATTCTGCTCGTGGCCCCTGATATTCGAACGCCCCCTTCAACCATCTCGAAGCTTCACGTTGATAAATAGTGCCAGCTGCTGGCTTGCGAATGCAAGCACATCTCAAGGAAACAGATTAGTGCGTTGCTTGGGAACATCAACTTCAGATTTTGAAATATGAGGTTTCAAATCATATAAGTACTTCACACTTTAGTTTCATTTGTAGCTCTGATAATCTATCTAGTATGAGTATCACCGGACAGAAA